GCTTCGGAAGCTCCTTCTGGCTCAAAACCTACCAACCATTGGAGACGACTAGAAAAACCTCCGAAACTTTACCAGCCTTTTACCTTGAAGATAACTTGTGAAGGAGAAGCAAGTCAAAACTTCGGTTTGGTCAGTCATTTGATTTATCACTTATTTTTGGCGTTGTGTATCAATAAATTATATTTTCGGCGTGACCGCTAACGCACCACCGAAATTATCTACAGTATACGGTACTTAACATAAGAAGGTGCCGCTGATTGTGCTTCTCTTTCTCCACTGTGAGAGACTGGAACATAATGAAAGCTGTTTCCATCTTTCCCATTTCTGTGCCAAAGCCTGACCTTAGGCAGAAGACAACGAGTCTGGAGCACACTCTTTCCATATATGTGCACTAGGATAATCTTAGCGGTACCCTGGGCTTTCTGCCGGTCGGCAGGACAACAGGTAGTTGTTTTGCTTTCCTTTCTGGAAGCATTCGCAAGTACCAAAACTCTTACAGCTGGATCTTCTCAGTCTGAATAAGCAGCGGCTGTACACCAAGGCTCTTCCGGATATCAGTGTTCCGGACCACGTCGAGACGCGCAAGGCCAGCGAATCGTCTAAGAAAGCCAGTTTCAGCAGCTTGTCCCGGTTTCGAAGCTTCTCAGTTATGGTCACGATTCACAGCCGTAGGTAAGTGTTGGGATAAAGATCGACTTGAGCACAGAGGCCATGGCCTTCATACTCAGTTCTGCTTTATTTTTATGTCCCGTTAGTTCATTCAATCCGCCGGTCGATCTCTATCTCAAATTTCTCTCACCTGTAAATAGACCCCGGGGTACAGATCTTCTCTACCTGCTCCACGGCTTTTCCGTTAGTCTGAAGAGCAGCGCTCAGGAGATCCAGAAAGCACTAGTCTTTTTGTTTTAGATACGTTCGTACACATGCCGGCCACGTCACACTTGGCTGAGAATCTCTCCAGAAAGCGCAGTCGACCAGTTTCAGAAGATGCCAATAAAACAAGGTCATCTGCAAACAGTAGGCTTCTCGTCTCGACATATGCTATACCGAGACACTCAAAATGCATTGATTGCACTTCGTTATTCCATGCATGAACAACACAAACAGAAGACGG